CACCCCTCTGCCCGTCCCCACCCGCTCTCACCTGCGCCGCACTGGCCCCCAGCTGGGCCGCCGGGGCCCCGAGCCGGGCCAGCAGCAGGAGCACCGGCAGCAGGCACAGGGCGCCCAGCACGGCTTCCAGCCGGCGAGCCTGGGCTCGGGCCCCCGACGCCACCGAGGACATGCAGGCCCCGAGGCCCATGGCGCCTGCGGACTCGCTGTCGGGGCCTAGCGCCCAGTGGGGCTGCGCGGGGAGGCGCTGTGAGCGGCTCGGGTTACAGGGGTGGGTGCAGGGGGAGGCGCGTGCCCCGAAGGAAACCAGCTGGCCGGCCGTCCCCGCTGTCGGGACAGCCCGGCCGCCAGCCTGGGGTGCGGACCCGGGGCCTGCGGGTCGGTGGCAGCAGCGTGGGCAGGGCCTGCGGGGCGGGGTCACTTGGGGAGGGGGGGCGAGGAGGGCCCGGCAGCGAGAGAAGGGATAGATGCCGGAGGCTCAGGCTGAGGGAAGGGTAGTCAGTTGGGGTCTGAGACCAGCTTTTCTCCTGGATGGAATTTCTCCAACCCCTGGAGGCTGAATGAGACCTGGGAGCGGAGCCTCCATTCTAGCCCACTCAGGACCTGTCCCCTGCCCGCGCGGAGGCCTGACCGGGTGCCCCAGAGAGGGGTGGGGATGAGGAGAGTGAGTACTGGGTGCTGGGGGGGGCGGGGTGAGAGGCAGGGGAGGGGGCAGGCGGCATGGGGACAGCACCAGGCTCTGGGAGCTGGAGGGAAGAGACCCCATGAGGGCTAGAAGGGAAGCGAATGAGGTGCGGTCGGGGGCGGGGGGCAGGAACCCCTGGCTGGGGCCAAGGTCTGGAATGGGCCTGGGTGGGGAGGCAGGGGAGCAGTGTCCTGAGGCCGGAAGCCTCGACGGGCCGGCCTGCAGGCTGGAGGAGCTGAGGCAGGCGGGATGGTGGCGAGGGTCCTCGGGCTGGGGGAACTGGGCTCCAGGAGGCCCGAGAGAGTGAGAGCAGGCGCGGATAGGTGGGGGAGGGAGCAGAGGGAGAGGCAGAAGGCCAGACCCGGCCGGGGGGCTTGGCGCTCCGCTGTCCATCCAGGCCTTGCGCCCAGAGTGGCGGCAGCACACCAGGCCAGCGGGGTCAGTGCCAAGTTGCTGGCTGACAGCCGGAGGCTCGGGGGGGGGGGGGGGGGCATTTCGGGTGGTTCTTGGAAAGCGCCCTGCCCGGCCGCTGAGCCCAGCTGAGAGCTGTGCCCCGCTCTTCATGGCTAAATATTTGCCCCAACAAACTGCTTTCCGCCCTGCGTCCGCCCTCTCCCCAGCGCGCTGTTCCCGTCTTCCACGCTCAACGGTGCTAAGACCCTATGGGGCCCTAGGCCCGAAAGAAACACCTCCCCCAACTCCCTGCTTAGCAGGCACCCGACGGGCCACAGACAGCAGTCAGAGGCGACTACACAGCCCGCCCCGGGGAAAAGAGAAAGGCGCCGTGAGGGCGACGCAGCAAGGGGTCGGAGGAAGACCACCAGCTGGGCAGACACCGGGATTCTGGCCGCCCCAAGCGCTTCTGGCGGACAGCACGCTCCCAGGCCCCATCCTTCCCCGGACCCAGGCCAGGACCGTGGGAGGCGGTCTGCGCCTCGGCCCGGAGGACGACTCTGGCTCAGCGGACGAGGTCTGGGCAGGGGTCTGGAAGCGTCAGCGCTAGAATGAGCAGGACGCGCGGGGCCCAGGCCAAAGCGCAGAGCCTGGAGCTGGGGCAGCGGCGGAAGAGGGGCGGGTCAGGACAGCCCGGGTGGGGGGCAGCGGCGCGGCGGGGCGGGACCCGGGTGCGGACCCGCCCGGCCCTCTCCCCAGGCAGGCACCAGGCGGAAAAGTCCGAGAATCTTTTTATAAAACACGGGTGGGGGCTTGCGTAGGCGACGGCGGGACGTGGCTCCGGAACGTGGCGGGGCGGGCGAGGCGGGGGATGGACGGGGGGGGGCGCGGGCTACACGAAGATCTGGATGCGGTCGCGGATGGGCTGGCGGCAAATGGGGCAGGCGCTGAGCGCGGCGCCGCAGGGCGCGCACGCGCCGTGGCCGCACTGGAACACGAGGCGGATGTGGCTGTCGATGCAGATGGGGCAGGTGATGCGCTCCTCCATCTGCCGGTAGCGGCTCTGCAGCTCCTCCACCAGCTGCCGCGGCGGGCCGGGCGCCGGGGTCGCGCTGGCCACCTCCGTGCCGTCTGCGGGCCAGGATCCGGGGCAGGGGTGAGGGGAGGCGGGGCCACGAGCTGCCGGCGTGCGGTGCGGGCCGCGGGTGGAGGCGTAGTCGCGCCCGTGGGGGCGGGACGTGCGCGCAGACGCGGGTCTGGGTGAGCCACCCACCTGGACGCAGCTTCTTGCCGATGACCACCTGGCACCTGATGCATTTCTTCATCCTGCGGGCACATTCTGCGGAGGGGGGGAAGGGGAGCGCGGTTGGGCGGGCTCGCGCACACCCCCCGCCCCCGACACACACACACACACACACCCGCACTCACCCTCGTGCGCACACATACACACCTGCACTCACCCTCACGCGCACACACACCCGCACTCACCCTCGCGCACGCGCAC